GTTTTGAACCTCTCAGGGCTGAAATTGGCTATATGGAATCTGTGTTCACTTTTTTTTTACCTGACTGCTGCTTTGTTTTACTTAGCTTAACTAAGTGAAAGTTTAACTAAGTTTAACTACAACCCTTTTTTTTTCTGACCATGTGTTTGTGACTAATTTGTTTTCCATATAACTGGGGGCTAAAACCATGTTTTTGTACAGAAAGGAGAAAATGGGCCAGCATTTCACACTAATGACTAAAATAAGTGAGACTTGGGCCATTTGGATTTTCTTTTGGGCTTGGTTTTTATTTAAGAAAATGTGAACTGTAGGTAAAGATGCATAAGTTAAACTTCAGCTATGGGATATTCTGTACAAAACGAAAGTGATGCCTGGAGGCTGTGAAAGCAAATCAGAAGAGAAGGCCCCAGAGTATGCAAAGATGATTGGATGAGCAGTAGTGCCTTCAGGAAATCAGGTGACCTATAGAGAATATAAAACCCAGTAACAACCAACATCCAGAGTCCCTCTTCATAGGCACCCATTTTGACATCTCACCACTACTGCCTGTTAAGTTACCTTCCCAGTCTCCTCTTCTCCAGGCTGAACAAGGCAAGTGACCTCAGCTGTTCCTCATATGGGCCCTTTCTAGACCCCATACCATCTTCACAGACCTCTTTTGGATGGTCTCTAAAAGCTTTATGTCTTTCTTATATTGTCGCACCCAAAACTGCACACTGGACTCAAGGCGAGGCTACACCAGTGAGTGAAGAGTGGGACAATCACCTCCCTCGCTGGCAATGTTAAGAGTGAGAGCTTTCTTTATATGTAAGGAGTGTTTGCTGTTCATCCATAAAGATTATACTGAGAGTAAAATAATAAACCCAAAAAGTTCAGATGTGCACATACCCCACCCACTCAAACACACACCCTCTTCCCCAGCCTTGGGAGATTCCTCCTACAGAAGACATGGCCACTCCACCTTTGTGTACCTCCAGGTGCTTCTGATCCTGTGCTAACACACCCACACTGAGGATGTGCCCCAAAAGGTGTCTCCACACCCTGTTTGGGGTCCCTGCGGGCTGCCCCTACGCTGCTGGATGCCTGTCAGGTGCAGGCTGCTCCTGGTGCCCCATGTGGGAGCTGCATTGCTGGGCTGAAATTGGAGTGTCCTGGCTTTCTCTATGAAAGTAGAACTTTTCCTGATCATACAAGTTTTAACAGATTTTTTTGTCCAGTTCTAAAGGGGCATTTCAGCTAAAACCACAAAAAATTGAAACAGTTCTATACAGAACCAGCCCCTCCCAACACTTCAGCTTTTTTATTCCAAAAACAAGAACTGAAAAGAAATTGCTTGAAGTATATTCCTGATTTCATTTCAGACCTTAAGAAAAATTGCCTGTTACCAACTTCAGTTCAATAATCATCAGGCAATTTTCTCTGTAAATAGCAGGCAATAGCAGGCAGATGATGTTTAACTTGCTTTAGTAAAAATAAAAAATTGGGTGAAAATAAAAGTACCTTTTTCTTTATTCCTAGCTACTGTGGCACTAACTATTTAGATCTAGAAATCATCTTCATTTAAGTTGCCAGAGACTTCAGCTGAAAAAAACAGTGAAAAAAACCTTATTAAATTAATTTAGCTTTTTCTTTTTTGCATATTGTCTACAAATGTAAATTATGTCTTGAAATGTGAGAGACTGGATTGTGATTAGAAAGGTTAATGCTCAAGGGCATGAAATAGTTCTCAGAATTTGAAATCTACTTGCAGTTATTCAAGAACTAATTTGGGAAAATAATGTCTAGTCTGTGACTAGTCACTGGATGTGTTTAATGTCAATGGTTTGCTGTTGGGACTATTTAAATGGTCACCTTTCATATAATATTGTCTTTATTCTCTGATGGAAGCATTTAATCTTTATAAATGAAAAAAAATTTATCAAAGAAACCTTGGGACTTGACTGGGACGGACTAGGGAGTAATACCTATGTGAAAAACATAGATTGCAAGAGATTATGCTCTAAAATGAAGCTTAGAAAATTTAATAACATTTTTCTCTATTCTCTCCTCTCCTATCAAAAATAAAAATATATTTTCTATAGCTACCTAAATTAATATAAAAATTAAATATGATTTTGTTCCTTCCTGATGGAAAAAGAATGAATAAGACAGATTTTGTGACTATTTTTTTTTTTCCTTTTTCATTCATGGAAAAAATTTAAGTTGTTTTGACCTTCAATTTATATTAAAAAAATATATATTCAAGCAAGGCTGTATTTAAAAAAATATATATAAAAACTACAATGGCTGACATAAAAATCATAGAATCATAGAATGACTTGGGTTGGAAAAGACCTTAAAGATCACCTAAATCCAACCTCCCTGACAGGAGCAGGATACTTTCCACAAGACTAGATTGCTCAGAAATTCATCCAGCCTGGTTTTACACACTTTGAGAAATGGGGCATCCACAACTTTCTTTGGGTGACCAGTTCCAATGTCTCACCATCATCACAATAAAGAAGAGTTTCCTAATATCTAATCTAAAACTACTTTTTCACTTAAAAGCCATTCCACTCTGTCCTGTTTCTACATACTCTTGTAAATAGTCTCTATCTTTCTTGTAGGCTTCTTTATGAACTCAACGTAAAAATGTTAATATGACCCCTACAAGATTAGGATTTCACCCTTTTATATGTCTCATGGGTAGGAATGATACAGGAACACCAATGCCTTTTCACTTTTCACAGTGACATCTTCAAATAAGCAGCATTATTTTTAAAAAATGTGGAGTTAGACACACACAGAACAATAAAATAATGCAAGGGAAATATCTGTGACTAGCATTCCGGATTGAGCCTTAGAAAACTGGGTTATTACTTCTAGTTTTGGCATAGATTTCATATCAAATATTACTCAGTCGTCAAAGGCTGTGTTCAAAAGGTCATACAGTTGTAATGTAATTGCTACCATTCTTCTCCTTCTGAAAAAGGCAACCTCAAGTTAAGTACCTGATTTCTTCAGGTGCTTAAGAATTGACTCCTAAAAATCAGAAAAGCTGTAGAAAATTTTGAGAAAAACAGCTTTATTCCAAGACCTCTTTTCTTCCAGGAAGGCACTTGCATGTCTCACTCTAGTGAGGACTGTAGCAGTTGCTGCACTTTATCAGTGATGGAGCTATTTAATTTTAGAATTGATGCAATGGAGATCTGATTCTGATTAGGTACCTTGGCATTACAAAAATTAAAAAATAATTGTGTAAGTATTATAATTTCATTAAAAGCTATTTTAAAATCCTTGTTGAAAGTATTTTGGATGCATTAGATTAAGTTTTACTTGATAAAGAATTGGAGTACACTCAGAGTTTCAGATTTGTTTGCATAGGAAAGAATTAAGTCTTCACCCAAAGAATTAAAAGGAAGATAATATCTTTAAACCTGTTGTACTTTCTTGTCATTGGAGTTGTGTATCATGTAAAATTACTTCTGTCTAGATATTCATTTAAGAATCAGCATGAAATCCATATGTGATGCAAACCAAAGGTTTTCCAAATACTGGTGGCAAAGTCTGCACAGGTCTTTGCAAGCAGACAGAGCTGTTAGAATAACTAATCAATGCACAATCTAAAAAATAATCAGCATCTAAAAACATGTTTAAATCGAATATGCTTCCATAAATCTCCTAGCTAAACATATGTAATTATTTTCCATAAAAAAAAAAACAAACCACTGCTAAATTAATTTTAATGAAGGGATTGCAGTAGCTAAAATGACATGACTGCATTGGCTGCTTTAGCTAATCTGACATTGAGTCCAAGGCTTACAAAGTTAACATAGCTCTTAGGACATTGTGCTTACTTAACCACATTGTTTGAATGACCCGTTTCAGAAGCAGCTCAGTAAGTCAAGATTTATTAGACAATTTCAACAAAGTATACAGAAATATCTCAAAGTGTTGCTTGCAAGCTTAAATGTGAAGAGAAGCAAACACTTCCACAGACACTACCTTCACCTGACGAAATTTTTAAATAATGGCTTCATGGCATTTTGGTATAAATTATGCCCTTGTGTGCTGTCAAACTGTATTGATGATGTCCTTTTTTAACTTATGCTAAACTATTTTTGCTTTCTATAGTGCTGAACTATTTTCTTTTCAGTCTGATTAAATGACTAGGGTATTTTATAAATTCATTTTTGTGTATGAGCTATCATACTTGATATTGAAATACAGTATCATTAATATAGTATAAAGAGACTGGTTTGTCCTTGATTTTCTTGCTGCATATCTGTTTTATGGCAAAAGGATAAAAGATGTTTCTAAACTCTCTTCCCCTTCAAAATAAAAGAAATATCATTACATAAAAATATTTTCTATTTCTATTGTATTAACATTTTTTATTTGTATCTTTTGAATTAAAATATTTTAGGACTTAGGAGAAATGTATGAAAATAACAGAATTAATATAAATGACTTAAAGCAGTATACTAAGAACTTTCATTACAGTTCTTGCTTGATAGTCAGACTCCTTGAAAAGCATGAAGAACAAAAAGCATTTTAATCCAGTCAGTGGCCTTGTACATCAAATGTATGACACCATAATAGAGTCACCCTGAATCAAGAATATAAACTGCCTCAAAGCATTAAGGAAAATTCTTCAAAATTTAATGTCATGATCTTAGTCAAGTAAAACATTTCAGCAGGTGGAGCTAGACTGTTGGTGGAAATACAAAAACTGCTAATACTACAACTACTACCATTATTACTGCTGCTGCTGTTGTTGAGCGATGAAGTTGTTTTAGGTGCTTTAATACAGGTAATTTGTTCTGGGGAAGTGGTGAATTTATCCAATCTGGGCCACTTGCATGCTATTTACTATATAAATTGTGGACTCTTACTCCAAAGAAAGCACTTTATCTCTCACTTTCTTTGGAAAGAATTAGATTTGTGTTCATCACTCGCATGACCTCTTTTACTAACAGAATATGCCACTTACAAAACATTGTTTTATGTTGCCTCCTCAGGCATTCATACAACCACTGTTATGGCAACTACAGCAGCTGTTTATGTAGAAAAATAAACTGCAGAGTAACTTCAGTGATATTCTGGATTGCATCTGTATGCAGTGAAGAAATCTTCACCACTGGACCAGACAGATTTTCCCGGAGCGATAACAAATATACCCGGAACCAGCTGTGATCTGATAAATGCTCCACAAAAAAGTCAGTTATTGGAACAAAATTTGGAAGGTCAGGATTGGGTAATCATCACAGTAACTTGTTTGTTTATGTCTAACCACAACACTTTATGACATGGGCTCTATTGACAGTCTGACACTGTTGACCAGTACCTTTTAATGCAAAGTATAAGTTTACCCAGAATTGACATGTGCACTTGGATTCAGTGATGACTCTCTTCTCCAGCCCCATCTGTGCTACTGCTATTTAACTAGACGGAACCCAGGAAAAGAGCATAAAGGGATTGAAAGGATCACTCTTAAAGTAGTTGTAAATAACACTCCAGATTTCAGAAAGAATTTTTATTCCAAATCCATGTCTCTGTCCAAAACGTGGTTCTATTTAATATTGTGCACTATAATCTAGACCAAAGTGATAATATGACCACATGGTAGGTGCAATGTACTAACCACTTTAGACTATAATCCATTTGAATTAAGTCTTATGTGGCCAAAATGCAAAGCCCATCTGTTTAATAATTTTCTCACAACTAAATTAAAAACATGAAAACAAATGAATAAAAAAAAATCCAAGCATCTGCTTGGAAAAGGAGGAAATTCAGCCCTACAGGCCACCTCTAAGACACTTGTAAGACATGTGGGAGAGTCTTGGAGGTCACTATGAGGCTTACAGAACAAACAAAGCAGGCAATGCAACCAAAATCAAAACCAAACTTCTGCCAACATTGTGTCCTTTTTCACTTTGATTTCCAATATTGGCAGTGCATTTTTTTCCTGCTTGCATAAAGGGCAAGAACACTCTCCAGCTCTCTTTTGCATCATTAATCTGCCAACTAGATTGTATTGTTTATAGTCCTTCTACCTCCTCAAATCCATTCTGATTAATAAAATTTCACAGTTTATTTCACACCTTTTGGATATATGAACAACACTCAAGCTAGTCTTAAGATAAAGGAATTGTAATAACATTAACACAGCATGGCCAAAATTAGGGTAATGAAAAGCATTAAGTTGTAGTTTCACGTGAGGGAACTTCCCTTATGTTACAGGCAAGCCAAGCTTCTGACCATTATTTAGAACATTTTCAGAATTGCTACTCAGGTAGCAGATATCTTCTAGAATTTTACTGCTTGTATTAAAATGTTTACATTAGTAATGACTTAGTATTGTCTAGCATCACATTCTTCAGGAAGATACAAACTCAGAATGCCATTGTATTACTTCTGGCCAGATTTTGTATGCGGTTCTTAGTTCGAAAAATGTTGGTGTCTAATTCTAGATCACATTTACTTATAAATCTTACCTCTTGTGACTATGAAGGTTCTTTCAAGATCCAAACCCATTTTAGTCTTGACCTACTGTGGGTAATGATTTCCAGATTTATCTGCATTTATGTCACAATTGTAAAGGTTGTTGTCTTGGAGTCAGTCGCATGGATACCATCAAGTAACAAAAGAATTTCTGAATCAGTATATTAAGGGCTATGTTCATAAGAAGTGACTGTATAGTCATAGTCACAATTTCTTTGCAGCAACAACAAAAAAAAACACAGACAAAAAAAATCCCAACAAACCAACAAACAAACAAACAAAAAAAAGTGGTTGAACCAATAGAATCATGTCCCTTTCTTTTCCACAATCTCACTGAAAGTTCCTATCCTTTGCTTACTTAGCTTTTGCTCTTACAACTAAGACTATTTAATAGGAGGTTATCACCCAACATCTGCAATTATAGGTGCAAATGTAAACACCAGCTCTCTTTTAATACTTTACTTCCCACTTCTCCAATCTGTCTAAACTTCATAGCCAAATTTCCTCCTCCTCTCCCTCCCTTTTATCTCAATCAACTGATTTTCATTCCTAATTCTTTTCCCTTTTTGGCAGCAAATACAGGTTTCCTTTTCCCCCATGCCAACATCTCCATCATTCTAGATCTCCTACACTTCACCTTTGACCCTTAAATATAAGCAACCACAATTTGTTAAAAATAGCCTTAATATACTTCTCATTTTCCTACCCACTATGAACAATTTTCCGTATTTTTTTACTTCCTACACAGTTTTAAACAGCTGCCTTTGCAAAGAAAACTTTTTTTTTGTCTTGTTTGTGGGTTTTAATTTTTTTTAAATTCAGTGTTTTTGTCTCTTGTTTAAATTCTGTCTTCTTGCTGTGGTGTTGTAGATATCGAATAATATGTCAGAATTAATAATCAGTAAAACTTCATAGTTTTCAATGTACATATGAGTCAAATAATTATATAGTCTCTCAGTAGTGCTATAGTCGTGCTATAGTAGGTCCATAGCGCATTTTCAATCATTACACTCTGTTCATAGAACTCAGGTTGCTGATTTTCCCACTGAGTTTTGTCTTTCTCTTCTATTTACCTCTTTGTTTCTATTGGCCACATTGGAACGTCTAAAGTACCTCCTAAGCAATTAGTACCCAAGGCAGATAATTTGATCACTAGTGATTTAGAAGAGCTATGGGGAAGCTGGCTAGCACAGTCAGAAGTGCTTACCAGGAGAGGTCTTCCTGATCCTCATTTTCCCTGGAAGTAAAAAGTTAATGTAGCATCAGCCAGTTATGATGTTAACAGCTGTGCACTTGACTGAATGCAGGCTGGCATACTGGGAAGGGCAGAAAATATACACAACACATGGAACACCTCTAATTCCTTAGTAAGCTCTCCCAGTTATCTACCACTACTTCCCCTTGTCCTCCACTACCCGGGTGTATTCAAAAGGATTGTTTTAGCACTGCTTACAGAACAAAGATGTTGATTTTTTATTAGTCTGATCTGTGTGAAGTTTACTCTAAGAGGTTTTTAATTGACAGATTGGACTACATGAGAAAAAAGAACTACCTTTGATAATGCTCAGCATATTGCTCTTTTGAAAAATTTGCAAGAATAATGACAGATACTTGTAGTAATGTATCTTATTCAGCAGAAAGGATAAAATTTTACATAATTCATAAAATTTGGATTGTTGTTATTTTCTTAGTATTTAGCAATCAGATTTTGAAATGCTGAAAGAAAATTTACCTGTTTTCTTCTTTCTTCTTTAGAACCTGACAAACCCATAATACACAAAGAAGGTTTTTATAAGTAACATTATGAGAAGTATGTGTAAAATACACTGCAAATGGCAAACTTATAAGACAGGGTGGCATTTTTATATTCACTAAGTCTGGTTTTACTAGACATGCAATCTTTCTAGCATATAAAAGTCTGCAAGGGTATCTGAGAATATATATCAACACTAAGTAGCTCTTACACTTTATGGTACCATAAATGTAAAAGCAGTACTACTGCACTTGAGAGTTACTTGCTTTTGTACAGCACTGACTACATAGGAATTAAATAACACTGAGCAAATAAATACAGTGATATTAAAAATAATTCAATAAACTTTATTTATTCTGTGAAAGTGAAAAATTAATGCCTAAGGGCGTTATAATTTTTTTCTTCTTCACTTTGCTTATATTATGTAGGTCCACATTACTGAGCTTTAACACCTTGGCCTCATCTTCTGTTATGTGGACCACATCAGGTCCCCTGTGGTGAGTGGGAAAATCCAAAGTAAAGGTGATAATAAGATCTTGACATAAGTTTTTTGAGGGTATTTGTTTGACACTACTGAGAGGATCTAGGGTGTATGTATAATAGTTGCAAATCCACATACACAGTTTGCAACCCTTCTACCATCAACATTTCTGTGATTCTGTGGATGGATAGAGGAAGGAGAGATGTAAGAGAGAATGAAAGAGAAATTATTAAGGTATAGAAATAAGTGACACAGCCTCTTGTCGTCATCAATTATGTTCCAAATATGTTCCTTAGTTTTTGATTTCTGAAGTCATTTGGAGGATCCCCTTGATGCATGCGAGATAAATGTGCCTTGATGATAGGCTAATGTCCCATTTCCTTGTACTGACTATTGGAGAACAAGAGTAGATAAAATACCTGAAGTTTAGATAGTTGAATTCAAAACAATCAAACCTGATGTATTCAAATTAGCTGCATTTCTTTGCCATGTCAGAAGCAAATAAGATGAAATCCAATGTCTGATTTAGACATATCTGCTCTTGGTTCATAATTTTTTAACTAGACAGATGTTATCACAAGAATTTATAAAAATAAGAAACTTTACAAAGCAGGAATCTTCAGTACAAGGTAAATTTAAAATCTGATAGCTGTCTAACCAAAGTGAGGTATAAGAAATAGCTCTAGATTTGAACCAGAGGGATGAGCTACATTATCACATGATGCTTTTTAAAGACCTACCTGTGATTTTCTGAATTTTGCAAAGTGTACTTTTATTATTTGGCCAGAAAGTCAAACAAATGAAACCACAGAACCATGGATATTGCAGGGGATATCCAGACGTCATGTTGTCTGATCTCTTGCTCTGTAGGGCCAACTCAATGTGGATGATCAGGTCCATGTCCAGTCAGATTGAAATATCTCCAAGGAAGCTAACTCCAAAATCTCTAAGGGAAATCGTGTTTGAGATTGAATACAAGTGTGACCATAAGAAGATAAATATCTATTTAATACTTTGTCCTTAGATCTATATATATTTTGATGAATCACAGAGTCCTTGTTTAGACAGAAAAGAAAGTTTATTAGGATACACCAGGCATTAGGTATTTTTCAAAATACAATGTGAACGCTAATACTTGCAATATTGGTCAAACAGAAGCCAAGGTTTAAAGGAGAAAATTTATTTTAAAGAAAGACACTGTTTGATATAATGACTTAAATATCTACCTTAGATTCCAATGGGGATATAATTCATTGTTCAGAGATGACTCGGAAATATCCCCAGACCATCACTGCAGAGAGAAAGGTGATTCTAAATTTCCAGAGCTCACCCTAATTGAATAATGCACTTCTAATTTCTGTGTCCTCTTTCTGCCTCCCTGCACCACACACAGTTCAAATAAAAGGGTGGAGAATGGCATTATGCAGGGGTTAATGCACAGTTTAATTCAAGGAGTCTGCTACCTGTGTCACTTGCTCCTCAGGGAAATGTAATTGCTAATTTCCTGT